GACAGGAAGTGATGTCAGGTACAGACAGGACATTCTGAGAGGTGAGTGGGAGGAAGCAGATCAGAGGAGGTAATAAGATGTTATCTTCTATTTACACACTGTAACCCCCTTTCATGTCCGTCCTCTTCCTCCATAGTCCTGTCCATCCTCTTCCTCCATAGTCCTGTCCATCCTCTTCCTCCATAGTCATGCCCGTCCTCTTCCTCCATAGTCACATCTGTCCTCTTCCTCCATAGTCCTGTCCATCCTCTTCCTCCATAGTCATGCCCGTCCTCTTCCTCCATAGTCACATCTGTTCTCTTCCTCCTTAGTCACATCCGTCCTCTTCCTCCATAGTCATGTCTGTCCTCTTCCTCCATAGTCACGTCCGTCCTCTTCCTCCATAGTCACGTCCGTCCTCTTCCTCCATAGTCACTGTGACATCTTTTATCTCCAGCAGATGATGATACACACATGTATAGTGTGGGAACCCAGATTAACCCCTTCAGGGGCAGAACATTCCCCCACTTCCGGGGCCGGAACATTCTCCTCATTGTGGAGATAAATTCTAGTAATATGGTCCTCTAAACAAACAGCACTGACAATAAATAGACAAGACAAGGACCATCCTGACCATACATGGCCTACAAAGGGCAATGATGACACTACACAGGCAGCCAATGGGCAATCATTATTATTATACAGGATTTATATGGCTCCAACAGTTTACGCAGCGCTGTACAAAATGAAGGAAGACATTACAGTTGCAATACAATTTGGTACCAGAGGAAACAGAGGGCCCTGATCCTGAGAGCTTACAATCTTGGAGGAAGGGATGAGTGATACAAAAGGTAATAGGTGTGTGGGGGGGGGAGCTGATGGAAGAAATAAATGGCAGTTTACTAAGTAGAAGCCGGATAGGCTTCTTTAAAGAGGTTTTCAGGGATCGTCTAAAGGTGGATAGATTAGGAGACAGCCAGACAGATTGGGGTAGGGAGTTGCATAGACTTGGAGAAGCTCAGGAGCAGTCCTGGAGGTGAGCATGGGAGGAGGTGACACGGGAACTAGAGAGTAGAAGGTCTTGGGAGGATCGAAGAGAGCCGTTTGGTTGATATTTTGAGAGCAGGTTGGTGATGTAGCTGGGGGCAGAGCTGTGGATGGCTTTGTAAGTTGTTAGTATTTTGGGTTTTATTTGTTGGGCGAGCGGAGGCCAGTGGAGGGATTGGCAGAGAGGGGTAGCAGACAGTGAATGGTTGGTACACTACACAGACAGCCAATGGGCAATCATTGCACTATGCAGCCAACACAATGATGGAGTGCCGGGGTCAGGAGTATGGAGCATAGAGCCCCTTACATTGCTGGTCAGGAGGAAGAAAACATTCCCCGGCCGGCCATGAAGAATATGTTCCATCATTGGTGTTAGAGGGAGGGAAATTCTGAGGGAAGTAGAGGAGCTGAGGGGTCTCTTAGGGGTTACTGAGGATGGGAAACTTTGGGGCCCCTGAGGGAGTAGTGGAGTTCAAGGGCTTTTAGGGGTAGAGTAGCTGAAGGAATCTGGGTCTTTGATAGGGTTGGTGGGGAGCAGGGCTCTGAGGAAAGAATAGTTTGTCAGGCTCAGGGGGACACTGAGGTAGGGAGGTGGGCTCTTGGTCTCTGTCTTCTTTCCTGCACTTAGTTTGCAGACCCTCTTTCAGAACTCCTACCAGGAAAGGAAGGCAACCTTCACCTTCTTACCATCTCACTGGTCAAATATATTATTTTCCAAGATACCAAGTGGAATGAAGAAGGACAATCCTTCATCCCTTGGTGGGCACTTATTCTTAGAGGAGGTCTGTTGGTGCATTATCGGCTAAAAGGTAGTCAGGGATCAGTGCTGAACATCTTCAGGAGACACTCCAATACCTTCCCATGACACAGGCTCTGGCAGTGCCCGGTGCTGGAATTCAGAGCCCCAGGAACCCACCACCACTCTGTACAATGCCCTGGATATTACAGTATACTTGGTAACCAAACCCCTCCCCCCTGCTGTCCTCCTTCCACCCACACTAGGCTGTCATTGGAGGGAAGAGACAGAATTAGCCAGGAAAAGTCATCAAGTTCCCCTTCCTGGACATCATGATGAGCCGACATTGACCTCACAGCACTGCCTCAGAGCAAACAAGTCATAGGAAGGATCGTATATATATCATTACTTGTCTGCAGATCTAATACTCATCAAAACCAGTTCAGAGACCAAACAAACCCAACAGAGAAAAGGGGATTTCTGATCCAGCAGGTCAAGAGGGTCTCGGGACCTCCAAAATGTAAGAAATATTAAACAGTCCCAACTAAATATCTTCCCATGATTGTAGTAGTCCTTAAATGTCCATCAACCCTCCTATTCCCCCCTCACATCCACATCCTATTATTGTGTGACCAATACCATCCAAATCATTCTTACTTTCATTTCCCAAAGTTATCCGTCTACAAGGAGACCTGTATAGATCACATGATGGCACCAATGAGGATGGAGGAGGACCGGAGTCACATGACTGAGAGGATACTAAACCTCACCCTGGAGATCATCTACCTGCTGACCGGAGAGGTGAGGAGGATTCTGGGAGGTCACATGACATCACTCTTATCTCTATTAATAAAACACAGAACAGACCGGAGAGGTGAGGAGGATTCTGGGAGGTCACATGACATCACTCTTATCTCTATTAATAACACACAGACCTGACCGGAGAGGTGAGGAGGATTCTGGGAGTCTAACATGATATTCCTATTGGTTCCTCAATACAGAGATTTCCTCCTCTGAAGTCAGGTGATCATATGACCAACACAGTGCCTCCATGTGACTCCCTAAACCCTGAGAGACACAACATGCAGAAGATTCTAGAAGTCACCAAGAAGATGATGGAGCTGCTGACAGGAGAGGTGAGCGGTGCCGGGAATTCTGGGACATTCTCCAGTAACAGACAAGGGATATGCCTGGGTGGTGACTGTATCATTGTGTGTGTCAGGTTCCTATAAGGTGTCAGGGTAGGGTACCAGGACACCATGGTGGAGTCATCCAGCTACAGGAACCCCCCAGAGAGATGTACTTGTCCTCTGTATTCCCGGAATTCCACACAGGAAGGTCACACCATCCCTCACCATCATCAGGTAGATGATGACAATTATTGGTAGTTGTGATTTATACACAGCATGTTTGTTACAATGAATGTTTTATTATATCTTTCAGAGTGGAATCCTCGGGGATGATAATATTGATCTTAAAGAAGAGTATAAAGAGGAGGATGAGGAGTATGGAGTGATGGAGGAGTTTTCAGAAGGACACAAGGATATGATGGAGCCACCTAATACCAGGAACCCACCAGAGAGATGTCCCCGTCCTCTGTATTCCCGGGATTCCACACAGGAAGGTCACACCATCCCTCACCGTTACAAGGTTGGAAGGACAGAACATCTAGAACATGAACTTGTAAAGATGATGTGTGGATATTTTATGCGAGGTTTTTTTTTTACAGATGATATTTTCTCTCATTTCCTTGATTTAGAGTGGAGATCCAATCGATATAGAATTTGAGGTGAAAGCAGAAGAAGAAGAGGCGTATGTGAGGGATGATCAGCAGTCTATGGAGGAGGATGGAATAACGGGGACATTTATAGAGGAGGACACTCCTACAGAGATCAGCACAGGTGGGTCATGAACACTAAATCCATTCCTCCACCCATACTGCTCACTGATTGGTCCAGAGTAGGCGGGGACTGGGTGATATCAGCCTGTAATCCCCTGGTCACTTTCCTGAGCTGTGTTCCCCGTCCTGTATTCCTGGATTTCTCTCGGATAATCTTCCTTCTCTGTGCTGCAGACACAATTTATGTCTCTAGACTGGATTTATGGAGATTCTGGGGTTCAGCTGGCAGCAAAATATTGATTCATAACCTCGGCACCTGGGGCCTGTGCTTTGAGCCTTCCAACCCATATCCTGAATCTAGTAAGATCTCTGACAGAACATTTCTCCCAGGGACCTTCTCTGTTATCTGCTGGCTGTGCCGGGTGGAGGGATATGTCTGTATAGTCTCAGACCCAAGTCACTGAGTGCAGTCTCAGGAGATGGGAGGCAGCGGTGTGGGATCTCTGCAACTTGTCTACAGTAAACATTTAATGTTCCACTGATTACTGAATACCAATATTATGAGTCCTGACCCTTACACTATATAATTTATATTTTACATTACATACTCCTGACCCCTGCACTATATACTCTATGTTGTACATTACATTCTCCTGACCCCTGCACTATATACTCTATGTTGTACATTACATCCTCCTGACCCCTGCACTATATACTCCATGTTGTACATTACATACTCCTGACCCCTGCAATATATAATCTATGTTGTGCATTACTTTCTTCCGACCCCTGCACTATATACTCCATGTTGTACATTACATACTCCTGACCCCTGCAATATATAATCTATGTTCTGCATTAAATTCTTCTGACTCCTGTACTATATACTCTGTTGTACATTACATACTCCTGACCCCTGAACTATATACTCTATGCTGTACTTTACATACTCCTGCCACCTGCGCTGTTTACTCTGTGTTGTACATTACATACTCCTGACCCCTGCACTATATGCTCTATATTGTACATTACATACTCCTGACCCCTGCACTATTTACGCTATGCTGTACATTACATACTCCTGACCCCTGCATTATATATACTCCATTGTATATTACATACTCCTGACCCCTGCACTATATACTCCATTGTATATTACATACTCCTGACCCCTGCACTATATACACTCTATTTTGTACATTACATACTCCTGACCCCTGCACCATATACTCTATTTTGTACATCACATACTCCTGACCCATGCACTATATACTCTGTTGTACATTACATACTCCTGACCCCTGCACTATATACTCCATGTTGTACATTACATATTCCTGACCCCTGCACTATATGCTCTATGTTGTACATTACATACTCCTGACCCCTGCACTATATATTCTCTGTTGTACATTCCAAAGTCCTGACTTTTGCTCTCCCCCCTCCCCCCACTGCTATATATACACACAATATGGAGTCTCTTATGTTACACATATTTCCTCCCAGCTGGACATTTTATATCGGATGATGTGATTGGAGCACAGACTTTTACATGGTGATAATAATGTGATAACATCCTCCAACTTTGGACCCTTAAACAGAAAGTGATAATGAGGGAGGAGTCAATACCCCAATGATGGTGGTCTTCAGGATCAGTCCAGTCTTCATCTTGGTTGTTCTCCCCCCATCCTCACTCTCTGACTTCTGGTGGGGCTCAGCCCGCTGTTCTTCATGACTAAATCATGGACTAAATAAGGAAGTGCAGTACTTCTTGTGTTGGGAAGATGGCGATGAGTGATAGAGGGGGTGGGGACCCTCGTCCTATAATTCCCTCATCACTGTCCCTCCTATAAAAGACAGTTCTGGTTGTTTCCTCACTCTCTGACTAAGGTCCATGAATAAAGAAATGACCTGGTAGGAGATCAGAGGAGCCATTTCCTAGTTCCCTTGAGGGTGGAATTGTAAGCTCCTCAGAAACCAAGCTGCTTGATGTGGGCGGAGTCCTGGTTTGGGGGAACCAATCAGCTTCTGTCTAGTAATCCTCTTTGTCTTTGTATTTTAGTCCATGGCCGGGAGATGAGGAAAACCTCCGAGGATTGTCTCACTTTGTCTCCAGACTGGAAAGTAGAAGATGAGGACATCACACAGTATAGTCCAGGAGAAAACCCGGCTCCCTCCAATGTCCATCCGGCACCACCCAGTGTAGATGGACCATCGGATTCCTCATATCCTGAGGAACCTCAGAAAGTGAGGACTCACCAAGATCAGCATAAAGAAGCCATGGAGAGGGGAACCCTGCGGAGTCAATTAAGAAAAAACAGGTCATATTTGACCGGTTATTTAGGCACAAACAGCATAGTATCAAACCTTGCTTAAGCTTTAGGAAACATGTAGAGAAACGTCAAGAAATAACAAAAATAAAAAGGCATAAAAAGAGGCAAGGAGCCCCAAATTGTTCAGCTCAGGGACTGGGCAAGCTGCCAAACAAACTGGAGCCTGTGGAAATATGAAGTGATACCTTCTCCATAGTTAAGATGCAGACAGCCGTCTCATCTTGTTCATGGAGGGCGAAGGTGTGGTTTACTTGCAAGGTGGTTGATCCTTTGCCTCTTTGGGGGATCTTTGCAGGGACTGCATTGTTCCCTGGGACTTTTATCATGGATGTCTTTGGGGAGGTTTGGCGGATCAGTGATGTCATCCAAGTAGGAATGAATATATTGAAGTGCCTCATCCGGTTGAGTAAAGGTTTTGGTCTCTCCAGAAGAAGTGGTCAGGCGCAAGGTAGCTGGATACGCTAAAGTAAATTTCAGACCCTTCTGGTGGAGGGAGGCACATATAGATTGAAAAGATTTTCTTTTGCGTGACACTTTTGGTGAATAGTCCACGAAAATCAGTAATTTATACCCATCAATTTGTAGTGATCGGGAGTTATGGAAAGAACCTGTCAGCGTAGTTAAGGTACTTGGCTATAATGGATCTTGGTGTGTGTCTGTCATTGGATGGTGATCCCAGACGATGAGCTCTTTCAACTGTGCATGGTACTGGTGAGGCCCAAGGCGGCAGGGATATGTTTAGAGCATAGATCCATTAAACTTGCTGAATTGACCGATTCGGGTAGGCCCACAATGCGGAGATTGCTCCTGCGGGAGCGATTTTTCAAATCATCCAATTTTTTTAGTATGGATTTTTGCAAGTGAGCATATTGTTACCTATCTGCAGTAATGGAGTGGAGATCATCCTCCAAATCTGAAATTCTGTGTTCAGTGTCAGGCGTTTCGCTTCTTCGCCCAGCTCCCTCCTAATTCAATGATAATTCTTCCAGATTCTGATAAGCCCCCCCGCCCGAAGACCCCCACAACCACCAGCCAGGGTTGTGGGGAAGAGGCCCTTGTCCCCATCAACATGGGGACAAGGTGCTTTGGGGTGAGCTCCCCTGCCCCAAAGCACCCCCCCATGTTGAGGGCATGTGGCCTGGTATGGTTAAGGAGCGGGGGCGCTCGCTCATCCCCCCCTTTCCTGACCTGCTGGGCTGCATGCTTGGATAAGGATCTGGTATGGATTTTGGGGGGACCCCATGCCATTTTTTTTTATTTCGGTGTGGAGTTACCCCTTAATATCCATGCCATACCAGAAGGGCTGGTGTGGCTGGGGGGGACCCCACGCCCTTTTTTTTTACATTTTGGTGTGGAGTTACCCCTTAAGATACATACCAGACCCGAAAGGTTTGGTGTGGATGGGAGGGGGGACCCCATGCCGTTTTTTATTTATTATGGTGCTGGTTTTTAAATGTAATTCACCCTTTTTTTTTTCTTCACTATATCTCAGAAATTCTCCTGTCACTTCCCCTCCCCCCCAGCTAAAAGAGAAAGTTTTCTTGGAATTTATATCCCTAAAGGAAACAATGTTTACTTTGAGTTTATTAAAAGATACAAAGTTTTCTGTAACTTCGGGGAAAGTGACATCTAAGCTTGTGAACTATAGTGAAGAAAAAAAAAAGGCCGGCATTTGCATTTGAAAATCAACGCCGACATACACTTTGTATTGCAAAAAAAATTATTAAGACTTGTGTAAACCGAGGCATTATTTTCAATGGATTTTCATTTGTAAACCGAAAATCATGTTAACTGAGACGTTGGTAAACCGAGGTACGCCTGTATTAGTATTGCAATCCTTTGTATTGGGATTGGGAATCCCAACCACGGCAATGAATTTGCATGATATACGTGTGACTAACCTAACATACAGTTGCAAGAAAAAGTATGTGAACCCCTTGGGATTACATGGAGTTTTGCATGAATTGGGAATAAAATGTGCTCTGAACGTCATCTAAGTCACAACAATAGAAGAACACAGTCTGCTGAACATAATACTACACAAACATTAGATGTTGCCATGGTTTCATTGCACATAACATGTAAACATTCACAGTGCAGGGAGGAAAAAGTATGTGAGGCCCTAGCTTAATGACTTCTCTCAGAGCTAATTGGAGCCAGGAGTGAGCCAACCTTGACTCCAATCAGTGTGATGATATTGGATGTGTGGCTGACAGCTGTCCTGCCCTTAAAAAACACACACCTGTTTTGGGTTTACTGGTTTCAAGAAGCACTGTCTGATGTGAACCATGCCTCGCAGAAAAGAGCTCTCAGAAGACCTACGATCAAGAATTGTTGACTTGCATGAAGCTGGAAAGGGTTACAAAAGTATCTCCAAAAGCCTTGATGTTCATGTGTCCACGGTAAGACAGACTGTCTACAAATGGAGAAAGTTTAGCACTGTTGCTACTCTCCCTAGGCGTGGTCGTCCTGTAAAAATGACTGCAAGAGCACAGCGCAGAATGCTGCATGAGGTAAAGAAGAATCCCAGAGTATCAGCTAAAGACCTACAGAAATCTCTGGCACATGCTGACATTTTTGTTCACACAGCTACAATAAGGAAAACATTAAACAAGAATGGAGTACATGGGAGGACACCACGGAGGAAGCCATTGCTGTCCAAAAAGAATATTGCAGCACGTTTGAAGTTTGCAAAAGAGCACCTGGATGTTCCACAGCACTACTGGCAAAATATACTGTGGACAGATGAAACCAAGATTGAGTTGTTTGGGAAGAACACACAACACTATGTGTGGAGAAAAAAAGCACAGCACACCAACATCAAAACCTCATCCCCACTGTGAAACATGGCGGAGGGAGCATCATGGTTTGGGGCTGCTTTGCTGCCTCAGGGCCTGGACGGATTGTTGTCATTGATGGGAAAATGAATTCCAGAGTTTATCAAGACATTTTGCAGGAAAACGTACGACCAACTGAAGCTCCGCAGAGGATGGGTGATGCAACAGGACAATGACCCAAAGCATACAAGTAATTCAACAAAACAATGGCTGCAACAGCACAGAATACGCCTTCTGGAGTGGCCCAGTCAGAGTCCTGACCTCAACCCGATTGAAATGCTGTGGCATGACCTTAAGAGAGCGATTCACACCAGACATCCCAAGAATATTGCTACACTGAAACAGTTTTGTGAAGAGGAGTGGTCCAAAATGACTCCAGATCGTTGTGCAGGTCTGATCTGCAACTACAGGAAACGTTTGGTTGAGGTTATTGCTGCCAAAGGAGGGTCAACCAGTTATTAAGTCCAAAGGTTCACATACTTTTTCCTCCCTGCACTGTGAATGTTTACATGTTATGTGCAATGAAACCATGGCAACATCTAATGTTTGTGTAGTATTATGTTCAGCAGACTGTGTTCTTCTATTGTTGTGACTTAGATGATGTTCAGAGGACATTTTATGCCCAATTCATGCAAAACTCCACGTAATCCCAAGGGGTTCACATACTTTTTCTTGCAACTGTACATGTGCTGGTGGCAGCATCTTTGCTTTCTGTCTAAATGATCCCTAGAATGTGAATTAGAATGAGGCCTTGTCTGTTCAAACACCTTTAAAGTTGTACCTTATGGGAATGTCAAACGATGGGATGAGATAAGGGCCTGGACTAATGATTGATTGGATAATGCTGGTTTGCACTCCACCCCCTTTTGGGAAGGTTTGTCAAACCATGAGAAGAGTGTGAGAGAGAAAAGGATTAAAAAAAAAAATTAATAAAATGGCATGGAGTCCCCCCCCCCCAAATCCATAACAGACCCTTATCCGAGCATGCAGATACCGCATGCCTTCAAAGATTTATTTCCTTTGTTGAATTGCCTGCTTGGTTCACATTAGATGCAATTTAAAATTGTGCTTTTTGTTGGCAATTTCACCGTATTTTCTGTAGATTACCAATAAGTTATTGCGTTTTCAATTGTGTTTTGCATTGCGATTTCTATTGTAGTCTATATGTGAAATTGCTACAAAATGCAGAAAAAGTTAGACAAGAACTACTTTTGAAATTGTGCTGCAGCAAATCGCTTATGTTAAGACACTCACATCCACATTCATTAGATCCAATATCAGGTACAATTTCAATTCCCAAATCGCACCTGAAATTGTGCACCCTGGATGCGACTTGGCATGCGATTTGCATGGCATGCGACTTGGGTGCGCCC